AGTGGATCCTTGGCAGCGACACAGTTTGTGGATCCTTGGCAACGACACAGTTTGTGGGTTTGTAGACACTGAATACACAGTAAAATTTTTTGGCTTGATTGTTGAATTCCACATCGACAAATTCAAATGAAGGTGATCTCCCTATAAAATGAGGCATCCCCTTCTTTAAATCATCAAACTTTCTCATTTGTTGTTGTAAATGACGACCAGGTGAAATTTTTTTAATTAAAATAATACAATTGGTGTGGATAATTAATAAAATTTAAAATTTGATTAGGATAATTTTTTTGGTTGTTGATTAATATTTTAATAGAATAATTTTATAAAAATATAAATGGGTTAGACGAGTAATTGTGTTACTTGTTTATTAAATACAGTTTGTGTTTGTATGTAAGTTTTTTATTTGTTTATTAAATGTGTTGTACATGGGAGTTTATATATTTTTTATCTGTTATTTGTAAAATTCAACACATAACCGTTTGATGCAACCCGTTTGACACCCATGGGTATGTGAATAGGTGTGAGAGAGACAAAGATAGAGGAGTCCTATGGGTACNTGGGAGTTTATATATTTTTTATCTGTTATTTGTAAAATTCAACACATAACCGTTTGATGCAACCCGTTTGACACCCATGGGTATGTGAATAGGTGTGAGAGAGACAAAGATAGAGGAGTGCAGGTGACAGAGACAAAGAGGAGTCCTATGGGTACGTGAATAGGTGTGAGAGAGGCAAAGATAGAGGAGTGCAGGTGACAGAGACAAAGAGGAGTGCAGGTGACAGAGACAAAGACAGATGAGTGGGGGTGTGAGAGAAGAACATTGGGGGAAAGACAGATGAGTGGGGGTGAGAGAGAAGAGCGTTGGGGGAGACATGGAGCGGAAGATTAGGGCAAAAATTAGGGACAAAATTTGACGGATAACCGTAGGGACAAAATTTGACGGATAACGTGACGGAGGAGAAAATATTTATTACAATGGTGATACCACATAAGAATACTGATGCAATATTACCAACTAATAATATCAAAATAAATATGTAAATAAACCATACTAAAATTAATAATTAACTCTCCATGTAAATAAATAATTATCTTCTCTTCCTCTATGTAAGTAAATAACTATTCAAGTGGAGTTTACTTTATTCACTTGATATTTTATTATTAATTGGTGATATCACGTCAAAATTGTTGATATGACATCAATATTGTATTCAATATTTACTCTTGATCGAGGGATTCAAAATTAAAATTTTGGGTGCTAATTTGATTCGTTGGATTAGATTTTTTGAGATGATCTGAATCGTTATTAAATTGATATAACTTGGGTTAATTCCGTCCATTAGATGACCAGTTGTTTTATCCCAAAATGATATGCACTGTTCTATGTCGTGGGTTCAAAAACAAATCTATTTTATTAAATAGATATAGATATATCTACTTTATAGTTTTTTTTTTTGACAAATAAATAATTTTATTTAGAAAGTACATCTAACTTCTAAATTTTAAAATATCATGAAGGATATATTTTATCCTTACTTCGGATTTTGTATAGTTTATATAGATGACATACTTATTATCTCTATGAAAAATTTTTGTTTGATTATTTTGTCTTTGATCAATATTATAAAGTCCATCATATCATATCATTTTTTTTTCATTTTCTCCATTTAATTAGATAATACTACCAGATCCTTTCATCTTCTTAAATTAATTATATGCATAAAGTTAGGATTTAATTATATTCATTTGAGTTTTAATTATTAATTTTAAATTTTAATTCCCTATTTTTTAACCAATCTTAATATCTATACTCCTAATATATTCCATACTACTAACAAAAATATAATAATCAAAAAAGCCTTTTTTCCTAAATTTTCCCCTAAAATTTGTAAAGTTTATTTTGTAAGTTTTTTAAACTTGTAATAATTATTTATACTACGATAAAATGTCAACTGTATCGAAATTTTTTTGAATCCCTATTATATCATGTCTAATTCTATTATGTAACTCTTAGACTTTTCTCATGAATGCACATTCAATTGCTCTTACTTCATTCATAGACCCTTACATTTTATCTGCATCTAATACATAACTTTTATATGGTACAAATTCTTGACAATGAATATGTCGGCCATTAGAATTTCAATCATTTCATCTTCTTTGTTTTTGGCTTCATTCACAACACAACACAGTCTATTCATTGGTATTATTCAATATGCAATGAATGTTTGTAATTAATTGGAAGTTGAATCATTCCATGCTCACTTATGCTACACCAACGCTAACATGATTTATCTTGCAGTTCATTCATCTGGCGATGGGTGTGTGCTCTCCTTCATGTGGTGTGAGAATTGCTCGCAAGGCTCTCTTGGCTTCTCTGAAAATTTTCTTCTTGTTATGTCAGATGCACTCAAGTTCGATTGGGGAGGAAAATCATAAATATGGTGCTTCTTAATTTGTGAAGCAGTGTGTGCATTTGCTGAAGAGGAGTTTGGAATTGGTATCTTCAATTTGATTTTTTGGAATCGATATCCTCCCTATCATGCGCATTACATAAATTCGTTGTGTTCAATTTCCTTTTATGTAGTATTGAAACTCATTTTGCACGTTAGCCTTATATCCCATTAGCAAAAAGCTTTACATAGGTCTTCATGATAATATTGGATGGTTGTAAATAGATCCTCAAATGGCTCATGAGGAGGATGATTCAACTAGTTAGATCTGTAACTGCTATAAGGGATAAGGTACCGAAAATTAATTCTGATAATATTTAGTTTACCATTTGAATAGGGTGAAAAAATCTTAATTTGTTTGTAATAAATATTCTATGGGTCATTTATTCAATGGGATTTTCATGAAGCATATATGAAGGTTCTCTTCAAATTTAGTACAATATTTGTCTTTGGTTAATTAAATAAGAAAATTGCAAAAATAAAGCTCTTGGTGATGGTCACTCCTAGTGACTTTCAAGGTGGTTTGTTTCAGCTTATCTTGAAATAAGTGTCCGCTTTATTCTTAAGTGATGATGAACAATTACGAGTTAATGTTGCTTAGTTGCATGTTGAATGAGCCCTACTATACAACTTATAAATAAATGTGTTCCAAATAGTATAAGGAGGCTTGCCACTAAGCTATAAATTTCTTACATAACACCAGGAAAGAAACTTGATGTTTCATTGTTAGTTATCACTTTATAAGATAGTTGCTATGAAGTATCTAGTGTAAGGTCATTCTTTTAAACAATATTAGCAATCAAAGAATTCATCAATGAATATTAAAAATTAAATTGGTATTCATCAATACAAAATTTAATTGCTAAAACTCCAAGAATTTTTTAAAAAAAATAGTACCTACAAAAATGTTGTTGACTACATTAGTATGGAAAACCATATACCAACACAAAAAATTATAATTATAATTCAAAATTGTTCACGTGCAACGCATGTGTGCATCAACTAGTTTATACAATAAAATTGGATATATTTTGAATCCCCCAACTTAGCTTAGTACAAGAATAAGTGAGATTTATTCAATCCAATGCTTCAAAATGCTCACCAACTTTTTTCCACCAAATCAATACATACCTTTCCATGCTAATCAAGGCCAAATTCTCTCCAAAGTTTAAAATTCCACCCACTCTATACCCTTTCACACTAATTAAGGCCAAACCAAGCCTGTAATGTCTCCGAATTTGTTTTTTAAGATGGTGAGAGAAGATTAATTTTGAATTGTCTAGCTATAGGAAAGAAAGAAAAAATAAATTATTATTTCATATATTTATACTACACGACTAATGTTCGATTTATTTGTGTTACCCAAAACTTTTAGGCATAGGTTATTGCTAGTTCAAATATTAGATCCTAAGTATAATTTTTTATTTACTTCTGTTCTAAAATATTGAAATAGCCCTAAAGTTTTTACAATTTTGTAGTGGTGGCAAATCTACACTACTTATAAATGTCAGTAATTGCGAAATTTTTTTAATTTTTTACTTTATTCCTAATTATTATGATAAAATCAATTATGCTCACCTATATACTTTTATCTAATTTTTATTTTTTTACACATAATTTTACTTTCAACTTGTTTTGGAGTGTTTTATATGAACTTCTAAATTCTTTTGATTTCATTTATTAGTAGTATGATTATATACAATTATCTATATCTATATGAAAAAGTAAATTCATATATATATATATATATATATATTAAATTATTATACACGTGCAATTGCCGGGTTGAATTGCACGGTCAAATATATGTTATATTTTATTTGTTGGTATGCAATAATATTATAAGCGATCTAATCAGTCTATTTAACAAAATAAAAATTAATAATTTTATAATATAATTAGATGTACAAATGGCTAAAGGGATCAAAGAAATACCTAAATAAATATCAGATTAGTTACTCAAAACCTTATAGAATAAATCAATAATTAAATTTAGTAATAGTTAAAATATAAATTAATTATTCAACACCTAATTTATTATTTAATTTAATTACACATATAATTTAAATTTTTTATAAAAATAATATTACTTCAATTTATTTATGTGCAATGCGTTTTAAAAAATTAAACTTTAAATTAACCCCAATATTTTCAAGATGACAATGGGGTCAGTTGTGCCTCCGCCACTGGATAGTTGGATTATGCATGTGAGATAAGAAAATTTTATCTCCTTGAAAAAAATTGGGCAAGTGTTCTAAGAGGCTTCAATATCTCTCAGTTAGAGATAAACTCTCTCTCTCACACACACACACTCCAAAATAATAATAATAATAATAAATGCTACAAACTGTATGCAATCTAATTGTCATAATTTAAAATTTATTAATTCACCTTTTGTTGGACTTACCAAATTATTTGTGACAAGAAGGATGAGTAAACTGATACATTTAAACATATGAATAAAAAAACTTCTTAGAGAAAATACAAACTCACATTCAGAAAAACTGATACATAAAGAAGTCCAAATTACATGGCTTGTTATTAATTCATGTAGATTGACTAGAATCAGGCAAGGCACCCATCCATGTAGGCGGTAGCATTCCAGTTTGCTCTTGGACAGTCTTAAACAAGGGTGGCAACATCCTATAAACCCCAGCAACCTCCCTCATGGCATCACTCCCACCACCACCGGCTGCCTCGCCCCCGCCTCCAGTCGTCCAAATGCTGATTTTTGGCTGCAGTCCATGCACAGCACCGGCATTGATCTTCGCAATTTCTTGAAACATTCCACCATTAATCATCAAGTAATCCCTCAACGCTGCGTAATTACCTCCCAATGAGTCTAGAAGGGTGCGTATGTAAATTCCTTGGGCTTGTGCAAGAGCCATAAGTCCTTCAGCCTCTTTCTTCTTTGCATACAATTCTCCATCGGCAACTTGTTGGCGAGCATAAAATGCAGCCTTGGCAATCACCTTTTGAGCCTCGGCATCCTTCTCCCTCTCGTATAAAATCGCTTCGGCGGCCTTTTGCTTCTTATAGAGCTCCCAGTTTGCTTCTTGTACCTAGTGAGTTAATATGGATGGAATGAGAATTGCACATAAACTTACTTTGCATGGTGTTATGTGCTTGAGTTTACGAATAATCCGCAAAATGGAATAGAAAAGAAAGACGAAACACACAAAGGTTCTAAATGATGAAGGTGACATGCCGTTTTCCTAAATGGAAGCAATAAAAACAACCCGTATTTGGTAGAATCCACAACCAATTCAATGTTTCTGATGAATTAGATCAACAAATTATATCAATAAATTAAATCCAAATAACACAAATAAAGTAATATTATTCCAATCGATATAATTAGAACACAATATTAGGGTGAAGATAATTAAATATGTCTAAATTTTATTTTAAAAAATACATACCTAATATCAAGTAAAAAAAAATTGAGGAACATGTGTCTACCCTAGCACAAGGGTGGCTCCGTCCCTGTTCATGATTGACATTCCACAGTGGAAGTGGATGAATTTGTTTAACAGTCAACCTCATCCTAATCTCTTGACTGGAGATGAAACTGCCATGCATGCAACTGGGAAAATAAATGGAAAAAAAAAACTAGGAAAATAAATGAAGATAGAGATTTATAATTTATGGCCTTTTCTTTTTTGAACAGTGTACTTTGAGACTTGAAATTAGCTTTTTTCACTCATGGTTACAACCAGGGGTGGCCCCAAGGCTAACGGACAAATCAGGCTCTATTAGTGTTTTATACAATAAAATAAATATTATTATATAATTATAAAATTTCCAATGTATAACTTTAAAATTATTTTTCTAGATTGTAAATCGTTTACGGTTATTCAAATATCGGTATATAATTTGATTGTTCAATTGTTAAATTATCGGTTGCACTTCTATTTATATTTTGTTTATACTACCAAGAAATTTATCATGTTCTCTTTTTCTAGAATGAATGATTTCTTCTACCTATCTTTTTCTATGTTTTTTACATATCAAGATTTATAGTATGCATACTTAAAATAATAAATCTTTATAATATTTAGCTTTCTTTGCAACGATTAAATTAAATTAAAATATAAGTGTAGATGTAAGAACAAATTGAAATGCTATTTTCTTGGAATGTTCTTTTTTTTTTAATCATTTTCTCCACGAATTCAAGTCCAGCTGCTAATCTATTGGTAAAACAATAAACACAGACATTTATTCTGTGTAGTAACAATGGATAAAATAAAAATCCATGAATAATTAAATCTAAGTCTAATACCGTAACTTGATCCTTATAATATATAATTTTAAGTGACAAAGAATAGGAAAATGACTAGAGAATGGTTGAAGAAAGAATACAATAGTACCGATTTTTTGATGAAGTAAATTAATACAAGCAACATGAAGAGAGAAGAATGCAAACCTTGGTCTCATACTCAACACTAGCCTTGCTCAAAAACTCAGCCTTAAGCTTCTCTGTTCTTGTCAACGCATTCATAACCTCAACCTCCCTCTGCAATTCAGCCTCGCGTAGCGCCACCGCTTTTTTAGACTCCACCTCTGCCACCTCTGCCTCCTTATTCCACCCAGCCTTCTTCTTTGCCAATTCTGCGTTCGCCTCTGCCACCTCAGCCTCTCTCTGGTTCTCGAAAACCTTCACCTCCGTCTTCACCCTTATCGCCTCCTTCTTCCCCTGCCCTTCCCTTTGTGTTGATATAATCTTCGTCTCAGCATCAATCTTCGCCGCGTTTTGAAGTGTTTGCCCTTCTCGAAGCTTGGCCCCAACCTCTCCCTTCATTTTTGCCTCTGCAACATCGACTTTAGCTTGATTTGCGGCCTCCATCTGAGTTTTTTGGCCCAAGTAGGAGAAGTACTCGTGTCCGGGAACATCCACAAGCTGTTTGACATTTGCATTGTAGATCAAGAGTCCAAACTGGTTGAGTTCAAGCTGAACTTTCTCAAAAACTTCTTGCTTGAACTCTTTGGTTCCTCTGAAGACTTCTTCCATGGTCATGGAGGCTGATAGGACACGAGTTTCACCCTCGATGATACCTGTTGGAAACTCACATGTAAGAAACAAGTAAACAACCCCTCATCAGTTTGGGAAGAGCCTAAGACGACTTTATGTACAAGGATTTGGCCAAACAATTTTGAACTAGAGATTAGCCAATTTCTCTTGTTTAATTTATGTACATAACTTGATGTAAACCACAAGAAAACTTGGTTTCTTTGATTTTAGACCTAAAGAACGAGCGTATATTATATTTAGGAAGATGTGAATGAAAAATAAAGTTCTAAATTTTCATGTAATCGCCCGTTATACGCTACGTCGGTTATACCGCTAGTTCCGCTATTATTATTGTCACAACATTCATTACCTGTGTGTAAATTATGAAAATTTAGGGGCAGTTTACTTTGTTAGACTTAAAATTTGAGTTTAAGTTCATTCCGATCTTTATTATTTAAAATATTTCAAACATTTACATCTAATTAAAACATATTTAAAAACTAAAAATTCTTAAATTTGAGAGTTTTTCTCACATTAAAATTCTCTCTTTATTTCTCTCATATTTATCTGGATCCATGTATACAAACTAACCAAATTTAAACTAATTTAAATTCAAAATTCTTTAATTTTAGATCTTTCCTAATTAGAACTATTTCTCTCTATCTGTCACACACACACATATATATAATAACATTTAAAATAAAAAAAGTAGTAACATTAAATATTAACATTTTGAAAATATAGTAATATTCAATATTAAGATCCAAAACAAAAAATAGTAATTTCAAAAATTAGAACAAAAAATAGTAACAATTAAAAGAAAAAATTGCAACATTTAAAACAAGAGACGGTAACATTTAAAATAAAAATCGTAATTTTTAACATAATAGTTATATGAAATAGTAACATGAAAACAAAGATATACAAAAAAAAGTAACATTTAAAACCAAAAACGAAATATTGGGCTAAGTCGATTCAACAACCTGGTTCAATCTTGTACCATTAATTGAATTGGATGTGGGCCTCCGGGATGAAAGATACTATCTCTCGAGTAAAAACACAAACAAGATTATTCAACAATTTAGAAATACCCTACTTCTCTCTCCTTTTAACCAAACAGAGCCTCGACAAGGAAAAGCTATCAAGATCAAATTCAATCGTATGTCGCAGAAAAACCAAGAGACAATCAAAGGGGGTTCGGAGAAAATAGTGACAGGCGAATGCATTATTGTTCACATTAGGACTTTCAAAATCCGACACGACATAATTAACCGACATGAATCGATACGAATTAAGTGGGTTTAGATGAAATTTTAACGGGTCGTGTTCAGGTGAGACATGTCAATCTGTTTACCTGTTTAAATAAAATTAATATAATAATAATGTAATAATTAATTTAAAAATGTCTGCAATAAACAAAGAAGAAAAACATTTTATGTAAGTTTTTTTTCCCCACAGTAAATAGAATAGAAGAACTAGAAGGAAAAGAGAATAAAACCACAGTCTTTCACTAGGGCCTTCTAAGAGTCTCAGCTATAAGATTTTAATGGAGTCTCACCATCAAAAGAAATAAAAATATATAGAAAGTTTTACTCCTCAACATACTTTGAATGTGAATAGGTATCATTAGGTTCTCTGACTATCATGTTCTTCCCATAGACGTTATCAGTGGAATTTGGTTGTTTTAGAATGTGGTTTGTACTATATAATATTGTGTGGTATCTTTAAATATTACATTTTTTTGTGTTAGTTTGTTAGTTTTATAAAGTTATATATCATTTTTAAACAAATAGGTGAATGAGTGGTTTACCGTGTTAACCCAATCCTACCAAACATGACTCGTTTAAAATTAAACGGGTTAAATAAGTCGTGTCGTGTCGTGTTACCCGTTTATTAAACGGGTCGTGTTCGTGTGAAGAATTTTGACCAATTTATTAAACGTGTCGACAGTGTACAGATTTACATATTTTTCACCCGTCATCTGTTTAACTCGACAAGTTTGACACTCCTAATTGACACACCTAATGAGAGAGAAGGAGAAGGGGTCCCATAGAGATGAGGTATGTACCTAAACCGAAGGAGAGAGAAATAAAGGAGACGGCTTCGCAACTAAACAACTGCGTATTCGAGCCTATTTAATTAGGGAAGTTTCGGGCCAGTGAAATATAAAATTTTTAAATTTGAGATCTGGTTTTGAAATAGAAAACATATGAAAATCAATTATGAGAATTTATTTTAACATGAAGAATGCTAAGATTTATGAAAATTGCACTCCGAATGAATTGAAAAACTTATTATCATTAAAACCAACCAATAAGGGTGTTTTAGTAATAAAAAAATAAGAAAATTAATGAACTTAACTACTAAATAAAATTAATAATTTAGGACTGAATGACAACTATGTTAAAGGCTAGGACTTTAAATCTTATAAGTCTCTTAAATAAGACTAACCCCTAATTCTCAGTTAAAATTTTGGGTCAAGTTGTATATAATTGTATTTAAACCCAAAATCTAACGATGATATTAGATCCAAACACCCTTTCAAAGGTTACGCTATTTTGGAGGTGATGTTTGGACTTGGACTTGGGCTCTTATGATTATAGTATGATGTTAAATAGAGTGTGTTCAAATTTTGTAAAGTATATTTAAAATATGCATATATCCCCTTATATGTGTTCAACAAAAAAAATGAATTGAAATCTAACATCAGTTTCTGCAAGAGGTTCAAATTGATTGATTAGTTTTTATCCATTCATGCAAAAAAGTTAAGTCATTTGTATGTTTTGATTAAATATTAGGTACAACGGTTACACAACGTCAGCATTGTTATGTAGTATAAATGTCTAATAATAACTAACCAAATAAAAATAGTGGACCATACTCATTCAAATAAACACTCTTTTATGTAAGATAAGATCTACCCATATAAAAAAACATAGGATCACCTTGTCCACAAATTTATTTAATATTGAACTGTTATACCACATAAACATTAGTGTTACAATGAATATTTACTCATTTTAGAGGTGGCACTTGGAGTTCTTTCGATAAATTATATTCAAAACATACATATATCCTTTGTGGATTCATTAAAAAAAAAAATTAGTAATTAGTCTACCACAAAAATACTAAAAAGAAAAAAATGACTTGCGGGAGAATAGGAAACTTGTGAGTCGTGAGAGAAGAAAATATTTTGAGAATGGCTAGAAAAAAAAAAGGTTAATTGCATTGGAATTTCCCAAAAATATGAAGTTTGTCTCCTTTTGGTTTTAGTATTTCAATTGCATTATTTTAGTCCTTGAAATATATCACATGTTTCTATATGGTCTCTCAAACAGATGACGTTTAGATTATTAACAATTTTTTTATCATAAACTTGTCGTATGATATTTAAATATGGGCAAAAAAATAATTTGAATAACTTTTGATCAAATTTTTACTCAAATTTTAATCAAAAAGTTACCCAAGTTACGCAGTTTTAATGGTGAGTTATTCAAATTTTTGTTAAGAGCTACCCATATTTTTGTTAAGTGCTACTCATATTATTTTTTGTCTTTATTTAAGTATCACGTGAAAAGTTTATAATAAAAAATTGTTAACAAACTAGACGTTATCTGCTTGAGGGATCACATAGAAACATATTTAATGCATCAATGACTAAAATGATGCAATTGAAATATTGAGAATCAAAATGAGATAAATTTCATACTTTAGGGACTTTAAGTGTAATTAACAAACAAAAAAACTGGGACAACTTTATGCATTTTGACCCCCCTTTTTTTCAACTTAGGTGTTCATTTTGACCTTGAGATTAAGCTTTGAGGTAGTTTCGGATCCAGATTTTAACAATACCTTGGACGAGCTCTTTGACATGGTGAGAGAGTTTGTCGTGCGGAGAGATGAGCTTGGCGTATTTGAGGAGGCTGATTTCGTCGTCAATCCGAGGTCCGATGGTGAAGACCGCTGGGAGAACAAAAGGAAGCTTTTCGGCACTCATGGCTTGGACTTCAAAGGTGTAATTTACAGGTGAGACGTCGAAGACTGTGCAGGATTGGCCAGGAAGAATCCACGCTTTCTTGGCTATTTTTATGTCTGGGATGCCTGCCCCGGTGATCACCAAGTACTCTGATGCACTTGCAACTCTATACATTTCTGCTTTTGTTTGCGGATGGGGGTGTATGGGTGGGTGAGCAAGAGATGTTCAGAATGCGACAGAAAGAAGTATAGGGTGAAAGAGAGAGAAGTCTAGGTCTAAGGCTTGTGTGTGTGAGAGAGAGCTAGAGAGAGAGAGATTGGGGGTTATAAATGATGGAGGATGATTTTGAGGGTAGTCTATATATATAGTGGAGAATGGAGGATGATGTTGGTGTTGTGGTTTTAAGAGAGAGAGAGAGGGGATAAAAAGTCTTATGTAGTGACGCAGTCTAGGGTGAGAATGGAATTTCAGCTTCGTATTTAGCGTGGACTTTACAATGGAAGTACTTCGTAATTATCTCCGATTATTGCTTCAGTTTCTTGGTGCTGCCAATGAAAGTTGCAGGTAAGTTGCACTTGTTGGCTTAAACAATTAGCAAGTCATTGAATTGACAGATAAGGGTTTTAAAACAGGAAGAGAGATTCTTCCAATTCACAATCTCAAACTTTCACTTAATAATAAATGAATAATAGCATAGGTTAATGTGACCCACTTATATTTAGCAGGTTCTATTTGATTTCATAAGTGTCTTGTTATGGACGGAAATTGAGTAACACTAAATGAAAGAATATTACTGATAAAAAAAATTATAAGAATATTAAGGGTATATCGATTTCAGAATTTTTTTTTTAATTGTCTCGGAATATTGCACCATTTTCGGATCAACGAAGGAAACAAAATAAAAATGACAATTTGGTTTTGTAATTGCAAGAAATAGCACTTGCTCAAAAAAAAAAAAAGGAATAGCACTTGCTTCCGTACTAACATGCAGTACCCTCGAGCAAAGAGTGTTGGTTCAGTAATATTATACTTATCAAGTTTCTCATTTCAAGTGATGTGATACAATCTCTATCATTAAATATTAATAAGACTCACTTATTTTATAGTGAAAACTGTATTACATCACTTGATCAACATAGTATTATTGGTGTTGATTTTAGATTGTAGAACACAAATAACACTTTTGGTTTCCTCGAACTTTGCATGCAAATTTGTGCATCCTTACTAGAGGTTGAGTTTTGGATTTGAACGTAAAGTTGGGAGGAAGATTATGATACCGTATAAAAGGCTGCAACATTTCAAGATTAAGTTATAATTTTTTCAGGGATTAAAATACTTTGATTTTAAAATATTGTAATCAATCTGAAAAATTACAGTTTTTAGATGTCAAGGTACTACTTTCAAAGATCAAATTGTCATTCGTAAAGGAGAAATTACAACATATAAATTATTAGTGATCGATAATAAATTTTGTTGTATTAAACGTATGATTTTGACATGTTAAATGAACTAAACTTATTGTTTATATAACTAATTATAAAGAGAAACAAACGATTTTCCTTTTTTCATTACTTTTATGTACACTTCTACCAAATTAGGATTGGATTTTTTTTAATCAAATCACTTATAAAACGAAGAAAAAACTTTCAAAAAACTATTGTCATTCTCAACATAGCAATATAACTGCAAAATGATTTGACTGTTTCAACTACTTTGGCATTGCCAAAAAATAAAAATAAAAATTGGTGATATAAACCATCCAATGATGACATACACGAATGTCAAATGCCACCAAATCCTTTTATAATCTTTAAGTTCAACAATGTAAACAATAACTAGACAGGCTCTAGTTATTGTTAAAAAAAAAAAGGTACTTTTTTGGCATTTTACATTTGTTTTTTTAACTAATAAAAAACATGCAATACTTACAATTTTCTTATTTTATAATTTTTTTCAATCAATACTTACTGATCATCCAATTTAAAACTAAGGATTGAAATTAATGGAGACACTGTACTGAACGTAGCCTCCCATTGATTACAGGCAATGTTATGGGCATTTTCTAAGCAATGTCAACTAGCTTCTAAGTCTCCGAAGTAACCACTGAGGCAGCATGTCTAATCGTCTACCAAGGAACACGTCAACTGGAATTGCCAGAGTGCCAATGTAGAGGAATTTGACTATCGAATTCTTAGTCCCCAGCAAATTTAGATTAATTGTTAAAAATAAAGTGCATTTTCAGGGTTGGTTTTATTATTTTTTTTTTGAACACAAAATTGGTGCTGTAAAACTTAAAGCATCGCTCGCCTGTTCATGAAAATATAGATCTCGATAATATACTTTTTAAAATAGAAAACAAATTTTTGAAATAAAGGATGATATTAGGGTATTGGTGAGGTATAATGTTAGATATTTATGGTGCATTTTATAATCGTGTGGGGCAACCAAAAATGATCGATATTACAGTTAGATTATCGTCACGAGATTACTTTTACTTTTCCCATGTCACCTTTGAAAGGGGAAAAAAAATATACTTACATTTGAGCTAAGAAATTTATCATCCATAAATCCCTGAGATGGATGGCTACAGTATAAATCATAATCACGGCAAAGGATTGATTCCTTGGTTCTTTGCTGTCACACTTTCTCCTTAGACATATTCTCTCTAAATTTCTCTTCACTTTCCCCAAGACTTTCAACAACCAATTCAGATTGAGGAAACTTGGAAAAATCTTTCATTAAAAGTAGACCTCAAGACACCATTTGGAAGGAAAATAAAAGGCCTTGGCTTAGAAAGAACAAATGATTTTCAAAATATTCCCATCCAAGAAAAAAGGGGGTGAAAAAAATAGAAGAAATCAATTAGTCTTTTAGGCCTGTTTGATTTACATCTTAGAAACAATTTTTGGAGGAAAAATTGTTAGCTAGTTATTTTTTGTTTTTGTTTTTTAAAAATTGAGAACAAAAACTAAATAAAATAGAACAAGTTAGTGCTGTTTTGTTTGTTTTTAAAACAACCTTTCTAAAATTAGAAAACACCACCACGACGTCCACCACACTTCCACCACCGCCGCCGCCATCACCACCACACTCCCACCACCACCACCACCAACAACACATCACCACTACATTTTTATTTTCATTATTTTCTATGTTACTGTCTAAAAATTTTTTAATATTTTTTATTCTGTAGAACTGTTTTTGAAATATATAACCAAACAAGTTATATGACATGAAAAACACTAAAAATAGTTTTCTAAAATTCTTTGTAAAAACAAGACCTTAGTTTATTTGTGCATGGTTCTTGGAAGCTATGTTCAAAACACAATATTTTTCGGTTTGTGTCAAGAATAATTTGTATTATATCAAAAAAATATAAACCCGTACATCACTTATTTATAATTGTGTATAATAGGACTCGTGTCGCGTTGAGCTCATTGTAGTCTGATTTATTAAACGAGTGAAGCCTATTAGCATGGTTATAGTCTCAACCCCAGCAAACAGCTCCGTATAGATTTCATATTGAGTTAGACTGCTGATGCTAAACATTTTCAACCTAATTGGGCACCACATGTCACTTAGAAATATGGGATCAAGTTCAGTTTCTGACTTTTGAAAAGCGTGTCTTTTTTTGTTTTTTGTTGAGTAAGCCCATTGCCTAGAACAAGATATTGATGAAGTACACTGCAAGTTGCCCTATATACTTATGATTAATTTGGTACAATGAAAAAGAAAAAACATTAAAAATACAAGGACAAATAATTAAAATGATAGATAAAATATTATGTTTCTTAAGAAAAAAAAAATGTCGAGGACAAAACTAAAAGAGTTAGTCTTTATTCTAACTTACCAAAATCTATTTTTTCAAAATTATGAGAAAAAATAGATGAAAAAATAATTATTTATGTTGAAATGTATTTTATTTACCTTTATATCACTTAGTATATACATATATCATATGTATATTTTATACATAAATACAGTGGTAAGATATACATTTATCCTTTTTCATTTCTTCCATCCATATCTAATTTTCCTAATTTTCATGCCCCTTATCAAACACAAAAAAAAAAAAAAAAAAAGATTCCTTCCTAAAAGGAAGTACAGAAAAAGTATTACTGCTACTTTTCATCTTCTTATTTTTTAATCCAAGCTATAAACACACCATGAGTGGTAGAGCGTGGGTAGTGCCAGCAGGTATTTTGTTGTTGCTAGGCAAACCATAACGAAAACTAAGCAAGAGACTTCAAATTTTTAGAAAATTCATAATTTTAGTTACATAACTAGTCCAAAAAAAAAAAATTAATCCATCAAATTTTAAGCCCTACAATAAAGCGTCAAAAAATTAAAGCCAATTAAAATTTTTATTACAATAATTTGGACTTATAATCTAAGCTATAACATTAACAACTTAGAAATTAAAAAATAAAAAAAATACTCAAAAGTCAACTCATATTTACTCCCACCTACTCTCTCTCTCTCTCTCCCTCTCCCCAATAAAAAAATAAAAAATTAAAATTAAACACTCTCCCTCATTCTTTATGGTAAAAAAACAAAAATAAAAGTTGAATTTTCTTTCTAGATAATATTAACATATCATTCTTTTGTCTCCCTCTCATATAAGAAATTAAAAATAAATTAATTTTTTAAAAAAAATAATACTAAAAATAAAAAAACTTTCATTTAATATTTCCGCTTTAGACCTCAAATTGACTTAAACCGCACACACCTGCAAAGCAACCGAATAAATTGGGGAAGATGCTGGATAAAAGGGCGAGCAAACCCCGCAGATTGCTTAGGAAATGACCAAATGGAAGTTGAGGGAAATACTCTGTTCATCAAATACCAAAACAAGTGTTGGGTACCTGCCGAGCAAAATCTAATCGCGTGTTGCTGGGAGTGTTCCTGAAACTTAAGGAAGTAGCTCATTTAAATTCATTGTAGAAAGCCACTCCAATTTTGTAAGAATTGAACCATCTTTCAATTCTCTTTTTAATGGTTTAAATTTATACACATTAAATATTTAGTTGATTTTAAATTTCAAATATTCAGGATATTTTTTAATCAACTGGATCTATACACAAATAGATCTTGACCGTCCAAAGAGAATTTGAGAATCCTCAAATTCTTGTAAAATTGGAACTGTGAGAGCAGAGCTAAAAAAATAAAATCAT